TGATGACGGATGTCTCAGGTCTAGTGTCACCCATCGTTTAGGTAGCCCCTCCCCTCGTCCTTCCTGCCACGACTTTGCTGGTATATAATTGTGAGAGGGTTTCAGTGGAGTGCTTACCAGAGGTGTTCCCCAACATGGGTGTACTCACAGCTGTTGCCGATGGTGTTCCACGGGGATCTGCCACCCCTACACCCTGTCCACTTGCCAACCGATCACGTGCTGGTAGGATAGTGACCTGCGGTCCTCTGCAGGCTTACTGGCCATTGGTTTCACAAATGCAGGGACCCGGACTTAGCTGTACCCCTTTGCCAGCCTGTCCTCTTGTCTCGCTGGTCCTTCTGCTATTTCTTGGTGTCCTTCTTCCCTAACTTTTCTAGAAATAATATTCCGCCTGGGCTGGGAGACTCCCATGGCTGACCTCCCTGGCCCGGTGGCTGTCAGGGACTTCTGCACCTGTCCCCGACTCTATTTCCCTGAAGGGCAGTGCTAATACGCGCAGGGCGTCTCGTCGTGCCCCCTCCTTCCCTCCTCGTGGGAGTGGCACTGGCCCTTCCCCACTCCCTATCGGTGGCAAGCTAAGAAGCTTCCCCTTGCCTACCTCTGTTAGAGGCTTAGATCCTTCTCCTGCCTCCTGTGCCGGCAAGGCGCAGCCTAGCTGGTGCCTTTCCCCAACGGGAGCTTCAGCACACCAGACGTGCTGCCTGCCTTCTCTCTCCCTCTCTCGCTCCCCCTCCCCACTGGTGCTGTCGGGGCTTTTAAACTTGCCCGCGGCGGCCATGTTGGCCGCCGCGATTGGCCCAGCTGTCTCCCTTACTGGGAACAGTTGCTTAAATAGCCGGCGTAATGCCGGCTCGCACAGCTGTAGTTGCGGCTGTGACTGCTGCCGTGGTCTCGGCTCCGGCACCACCGGGTCTCCCGGAGGTAAGTGACCCCCTCTGGGGTTCTGTACCGGGGTTTCGTTGGCCCCGCAACCTTTCCTTGCCTCACCCTGTGTCCGTGATGGTGGCACGCCGCTGTCACACCTTCCCAGGAAATAAACAGTGCGTTTTATCAAGAATGGTTTGTATAAAAACTAAGACTTTTTATGTAGCCACTTTGCGAGGTCACTGTATTATGTATAACAGGTAGTCAGAGCATATTATGTTACTTGTGTTCATACTCGTGATGAATAAGCTGATTTAGTGAATACCCAGTTTGATGGCAGATGGTGCAAATGCATTGATATCCTAGAAGTTATATTGGCAGTTATAGTTGGTGCCTGATTTACCCTGGGGAATGGATAACAGGTGCTGAGAAGCAGGTAAGGGTTTAAAGGTGGTGAGGAGACTGCAGAGTTGGGCTTTTATCCATCAGGTATATACTAAAATGCTGCTGTTCAGGAATGGCAGAAATTATACTTCACATAATTTTAGTTGCTTCTTGAAGAAAGCAACTAAAATAAGAAATATCTGATATAGGGAGAGCTCAATGCAGGGGAAAAAAATCAATGGTATATTCACAGGGCCAAGACTGGATCTGCATCAATTTTCTTGGTTTCAGAACTCGGCCTACAGTATACAAATGCATTAATGTTAATGCCAGCAAGAATTTGTACTCAGTGTGGGGATCAGACCTTGCTTTGTGTTGTTCTCTAATGATATCCAGGACAGTTACAGGTTTGCTCGAGAGCAGAGGTATTCAATTTTCTGTCCCTGTGGGTCAGATAAATGGCATGAGGCTGTTCTGCGGGCCAGATTGGGCCCCACACTGCCTCTTCCATGCTGGGGAAGGCCCAGGCCCTTGGGTCCTGGGCTGTCCCTGCCTGGCCTTGCATACCAGGATCAGACTTCATGCTACCCTGTGCGCCTGATACACTATGCAGGGCCATGATATTTGGCCCATGGAGTTCCCCATAGGTCTGGAAATTTGGCAGAGGAGGACCAATGCTACTGCTTTCCCGCAGCCACAATTTTGTACTCTTGGGGGAGCCCTGCAGGCCAGATTACCTGGCGCTGGGACCTGGATCTGGCTGGTGGGCTGGGGGTTGAGTGAGCACCCCTGCTCTTGAGTATGTTGCCTCCAGCCCTTGACTAGAAGCATAGGCCAAGCTGGTAGGGCAGTAAATAGGGAAAATAGGGCATTATTAAAACAAATAAACAACTCTACAGACCACATACTAGTGCATGTAGTTTTGCCAGCACCTATTCAGAGGTTTTCCTAGCGCTGTTGTGTTCTATGAAGTGAGAGGATATGAAGAGATTGCACAAATTTCAAGGGAGCACAAATCCCACTGACTTAATATAGGATCCTGAATGCCTTTGTAGCTAATAGTAGATATGTGGATTCCTCCTTCGAATAGTTTTCTTAAATAATCATCTCAGACTTGGTTTTCTTGCATTTTTTAGAGGAAAAAGTATTCAAGGCATGAAGTCATTGGACTCTTGTAGGTGCCTTTGAAAATATTGCCTTGAAATGTTCAGTCCATATTCCACCCCTAGAAAGAAAAAACTAAATCCTGTTGTTTGTAAATAAGTAATATCAAAGTTCTAGTAAGTGTAAAGTCATTTCAGAATGAAAGTTGAAAACTCTATTCCTGCCTCACTGCATGTTAGAGGGATTTTCAAACAGGTGAAATATAAGTGCTAGAAAACCAATTTCCTTCCCTTCCTTTTAGAACAACTCAATCTGGCTCTTAGTATTATTTCAGCAGTTAGCTGCATCCATTTCTCATAGCTCTTAGACTTGCAGTGCCATCACAGTGAAGAACTGCATAGCTTGTTGTCTGAGTACACTTATGAGTACATATAGTTGTGAACAAAGTTATTGGGATTGGTCTGCAGAGCCCTGGGTAATATGGAAGGGATTAAGTATTAGTAAACATGGCAGTATATCCTAGTTTAATTAGGACAGTCCTATTCCTCTCCTTCCCACCCCCTCTATTTTTAAAAATTAAATGTGCTATGTTTGGACTTTTCATTTAATCATTCAAAACTTTAAAAAAATGAATAAAAAAAAGTTTGTTTAAGATATGTTGCTATAATAAATAGAATTAGCACTGTGTTTGTCATGAACAAATAGCATAGAACAAGCGTTCATTGTGACAATCAGTGTCTGGAGTGAAGAGAAGTCAGTGAATATAATTCCTGTGTATGTTCTTTGCTCAAAGTGTAACTTTTTCAAATTTCAGTTTCAAGAGTAACTGGGGAGTGTCAGGTCCCCAAGTCAACTTTGAAAATGGTAGCTCAATTTTTAAATCACTTAAGTCCTTGTGAAAATTTTATGCAGTGTAAGTGTTGGCAACAGGCTTGATCCACATTTCATGAAGAAAACACATTAGAAGACTAGTGGCCTGTTTTATCATGGGCACAAAGAACTTTTACAATGACAAAAGACTCTAAAGAGGTCTGGGGTAAAGAAGTGACTAGTCATAAGATCCCAAGAGAGAAATGTGTTTAAGTCCAAGAATGGTGCCCATGATTTTGTTGAGCTAGGAGGTGTCAGCGGCATTACCAGTAAATGAGGGAGAAGGAGAATATCTTTGTCTTGTCCATTAGTATTTCATGATCATTAATAATGCCACTAGAAACATGTCCTGGTTTTTATTCAGAAAAGAGTGTCACCTGAGTTTAAAGGTGTTAAATCTAAAAAAAAGAAAAAATGATTTTTTGCCCACTTAATTTATAAAGAAAAAAGCCTGGGAGATGCGTTTCTTTTTTCAATGTTAGAAATTCAGATCTTGTTGACCTTTGGGCATGCCTATGTTGTGTGGAGAACTGGTAAAATAATTGTTTTGCAGGAGAAGGAATGCTTAGTTATTGGGAGGGAGAACGTTTTAGTCACGCTATTCTGACTACTTTTTACTTTTATCTAACTCTAATGCCTAAGAAATCTTGGTTGAAAGGATATTTTTTTAAAGTGTCAGCACGCTCAGAACTTCATTTGAAGTTGTGGGAATTAAAAAAAAAAAATTAGACCCTAACAGATCCTTAGGAAGAAGAATCAGAGTTGACATTTTTGATTAATGTGAGGGAACAATCTTTAAGAAACAAAAACAGCCTCAGCAACCACCCTTTAGACCTTCTTTATACAAGGTAAAGAAGCAAAGAATAAAGTTGCTTTTAACAATTTTTTCTGGTTCCCATGAAGGTACTTGCAGTGTAAGTTCCTTATTTTTCTTTAAATGACATAGTTAGACCTTTAACATCCCTAAAATGAAGTTTTAGGTACAGTTATGAGGATTTGTCCCTTACATGGGAAAACATTTCATTTAGTTTTTCCTGAGTTTACAGGTCCAAAGGAGCCCCACAGAATTTTCAGTTATGTGCATCAGCACAAGACCAAGTAGTGAAATGAGATTTCTTCCACTTAAATAGACAATGTTTTACCTAAGATTGTTTTTTTTCAGTGCAGTGATGCCTGACTAAATGCATTTGGGCACCGTATTCATGTAAAGATGATGCAAACCTTTTTGTTAAATATTCCTTCTCCTGGTAATAAATCAAGGAGGGTTACAGATTGGTTTGCAAGCCAATGAAAAAGTCAGCTTCATCCAAAGGGAGGGGAAAGCCAGCAGTAGGACGCTGTTGCTTTTCTTCCACTATGTGTCCCCAAATTAGTTTGGCTTAAACCAGTTTTACATCATATATATTAAAAAAAAGCCGGTTTGAGGACCTCAGTTGATCAGAGTACTAAAGGTCCTTGGGCATGAACCATAGAGCATATTGGTTCTAAGTTTGATAGCTCTTTTTACAAGGGGCTGTGGATTGTTGTAACACAGTTAAGGGCTGGAAGAAGAGACAAGTCTTCCTGAACTTTACTCCCAGCTTGAAGTTTTTAAGAAATAAGTAGGCAGCAAGGGAAGACAGGAAGATACAGATACACACGCGGAGAATTTACAATGTCAAAGGAGAGAGGCGACCCTGAGAAACAGCTCAATGGCTATGGGGAGAAGGGAAAGGAGTGGAGCCGCACATCCCTGATCATCGTTCAGGCTGTTAATCGCAGTATTTTCACCTCTGCAGTTTCCCCTGCTGCTGAGCGCATCCGTTTCATCTTGGGTGAGGAAGATGACAGCCCTGCGCCCCCTCAGCTCTTCACTGAACTGGATGAGCTTTTGGCTGTTGATGGACAAGAGATGGAATGGAAGGAGACTGCAAGGTGAGTTCCTATTGCTCTGAGAGGGACGCACACGTGTTCACTAACTTTTAGGGGTAAATCATAGTGACACAAGTAGAGGGTATTATCCCTGCTGCAGAATGGCCCAGAGACTTGAAAGGAACATTGTCCTCCTCTGAAATTTACTGGGCCTTTTCTATGAGGGATTTTTTCTACCCTGGATTTACCTAAATACCTCTCTAAAATAGATCTATGGTGTATATTTGTTTATCTTTACAGGGCCAAATATGTTCATGGTGTTTGGCAGACAACTAAAATGTTGGCAGGAATTGTGAAAACAGGATGCCTGAAGTTAAGCTTCTGAGACCAAATGAAAGCTGCCTTTGGGACTTAGAGGCCAAATTCAGACATGCATGTGTGCATGTGCTTGTGTAGACTATTTTGTCATAATCCTTGTCTTGGATATGATGATGAACTTAATTTTAAATGGGTAAAAAACACTGCATTGTTCGCCCTGGGTAGTAGATGCAAGAGGTGGTGGCTGGTTTTATTTCCTCTTTTTTGTTTTCTTGGTGCTACTTTAATATCTGCATGATTTGTCTTGTTTTTTATTGATATTGATATTTAATTTATTTGATATCGGTATATACAGACAACTTAAAAGGGTGGAATAACACAAGACAATTGCAGTTCATGATATCTACAACTAATTTAGCTGGAGATACTACATGCTTCTAATGGTTTCTGTGTAGCACATTAGGCTTGCTAGGTTGAAATCTTACTGTACAGTGACAGTGACTTTTGTTCTGTCCTGCAGTTCCACTCCCAACCCCTCTACACATATTTTTTCTGCATGAGAAGCTGTACAAGGTACTAGATTTGGATATTTCACTGAAGAGAGGTGTTCATGATAAAAGTTTTGTGGGGCTTTCCATTCTCTTTTCCAGTCCCCTTCTTTTAACTATTAGCTTTTCATTTTCCTTTACTGTAGTTCTGCTAAGCTTTCTCTCCACTTTCCAGTCTTGAGGCATCCTACTCAGTTCATGGTTAGTCTGCATTTTGGTTACCTTAATTTTCCTTTACCTGTGATTTAAGGAACCAATCAATTTGCATTCTTATCTCCTTTCTTTTTTCCTCTTCAGTTCCTGGTAGAGCTAGTTTAAAGACTCTTCACCTTTTACTCTTTAACTTCTTGCTTATTGGCCTTTCTTGTCCCCCTTTATTAGTTCTTTCTTATCATCAGCTCAGTATTTGCATTTTTCCATATGCATTATTCATCTCAGCTTTCTAGTGGCTTGCTCCTTCCACTGATTAGGCTGCTTTTTCCTTTTGGAAGTCCTGATTGCAAAAATAGTTAACCATTTCTCCATTTTTCAAATCCTGTGTCTAAACTTTCAGCTTCCTGCAAGACCGTGTGTCCCTTCCCCTTTCAAATGTGAAAATAGAGAGAGAATGTTTTCTTAATTCGTAAAATAAAAGAACAATCAAGGTGTGTCATATTTAAACTGTTATTACAAAGAGTCAAGCAAGGTAAGCCCAATTCAGAGATTTTTTTATACAAATTTGATCAGTTTAGTGTGTGGAAAAATGAATATTGACTGTGCTTACAGACATGGAAACACCCCCCCCCCCCACCACTGTGCTTTACTTTCAGCTCAGTGCGACCCTGCGCTAAGCATGTATACCCAGAAGAGGTATTGCATTAGTTTGACCCAGCTTGCCCAGCATCTTTATGGGTTGCTCGCTTCAGCAGGGCTTTTTGGTGCTTATAGTTGATTGAATTAGCTTTAGATAAAAGCACCAAAAAGCCCTGCTGAAGTGCCTGATCTATACAGATGGTGGCACTTCCTCTTCCAGTAAAGTGCTGGTTTTTTCACATCTGCCAGTGCCCGTTATGTTTTAAATATCCCTAAAATAATTTTCAGAAACATTTATTTTATTTGGTGCTGGAACTGCTAGCTAGGACTGAAGAAGCTAAACTAATACAGCTTTGAACCCTGGACAAAAGCATGCTGGAGAAGATGCAATGTGTTTGCAGGTGGGTGAGTGGGGCTGGGAAGAGGGGGCTTCTCAGTCTGCCCACCCCTTGTGGCTGCTGCTGCTGCTGCTGCTATAGCAGCAAGGTGTCCGCACACCTGTCTGCTATTGTTTTGGCACAGGGCCATGGCAAAGACTCCTTGGGCAGCTACCATTCTGCTGCCTGCTTAAGTTGATACCCGGGCCTGCTCGCTACTTACCCACCCCTGATTACGCTGCTGTAGGACTGTGTATGTGAACACTGCTGTTTAATGGTGGCATTATTATAGCTTACAGGGGTCAAATGATGAAACCCTTAAACCTTTGCAAAAAATGTCTGTTTGGCCCCATTTTGTTTTTCTTTTGCTCCTGCTGACCTCCGTAGAAAGTGAAGTTCATAGTCTTAAATGTTTGCCTGACATGACTTGGTTTTACAAAGCAGAATCTACTCTAAGCTGAAGAGTAGCTGCTTCTGCAAGATATACTGGATCAGTCCAGCTAGGCCTTTGCTTCAGCAGGTAGGGCAGCTGTCAAATCCACACTTTACCAGAGCTTCCCGTGCACTGTTAATATTAACAAGAGGTTTGATATGGAATCAAAATGTTCTCCCCAGAAGGAGATAACAGCATTTTCATCCAAAAGTTGTAGCAGATTATGCCTTCCTCTCCTGAAGTCTTGGCCCATAAGAAAAAAATTGGTATCAGTCTTAAAAAAAAATAAAAATTCCAACTGCTGATCAGAGATAGGAATAAAAGATACTTGCAGAAGAGTGTGGTGTTCATGTTATCTTTAGCCAAATATTGTTTCAGGATTCATTGGCACTAGCTTTGTTGAGAACTCTAGTACAGGTATGCCGCTGTCACTCTTTTAAGCATTTTCTTGTTTCCCCTTACACAGGGTAGGTCTAGCCAAGCAGATAGTAAAAAAGACCAAGGGAATCCAGGTACCTGTGGGTTTCCTATCTTGTTAATGATGGTAGAGTTCAGGCATTGTTAACAGCAGTGTTAAATTTTTGGAAAATTTCCCCAGTGGAAATACAGTTTATGTGGTATGTGAATTTATCCTGAGCATCATGGTAAAAATGAAAGTCATGGTTGTTAAAAGGGAACAGCTAAAATTTTTAGTCACTGGGTATTTGCTCATTCAGTTGGCACTAGTTGTAATTAACTCAGTGGGTGATGCTGGGTAAAGCTGTTGTACTTCCATGAGGACTAATTGCTGTTCAGTAATGATTGACAGGACATGGTAAATTGGTAGCAAACTGCAAAGGCCTCAGAGCTTAGTAGTGCCCCAAGGCCACCACTTTAATTATATGATCTGGTGCAGTATGCCTGAGCTGGTCCCATTGTACCAGCAACAAGGACTGTCATGCACTAAGGAGGAAAACTGGTGCTGGCTGTTATCTGTTCAGGACCAGACTGAAGAGTAGGAACAGATAGCTTAACTAAATGATAAGTTCCTAGGTCAAGTAATATGGATCTTTTTTGGTTATCTTTTTTATTCAGTCAGCTGCACAGTTGTGAGAGAACTCTCCCAACTTATATAGTTAGTCCAATAAGAGAGATCACCAAAAAAATCCTTGCCTCTCATCTCTTTCATGGATCATCACAGCTACAATAATGCTCCAACTCTACTGGATCAAGTGCACACATTCTAGATTTCAGAGGGAACCTTAGGATGATGTATAGGAAAGCCAAGTTTTAAAGGTATTTTGGTGCCTAGTGGGATTTTAAAAGTGGCTAACTCTGGTTTGAAATTAACAGCCAAAAACACTTGCCCTATTGCAGTCCCTAAGGTCAGCCAAGAGTAATCTCTTGCAAGCATCATCAGCGTGCTGAGTCCACTTGGTGAAAATGCATGGGAAGTTGTTCTTCGGAGTTGCTTTTCAGCCCTGGATCTTCTTTCCCCTTGAGGCCCAGCAGAACTGGAGACTAGAAGTGTTTTAAGACCCTCCTATTTGGGTTGGTACTTATCTCAGTCCAGCTTTGCTTGCTAATATTATTTATGAGGTGTCTGTTTTATTTGATATTCTACTTTTTTAAAGTTGTTTTGTTCTCTTGTTTGTTCTTCTGTTCTATAATTTATTCTGTTCTTTTACTGTAAACCCTCAGCCTTTGTTGGGAAGGGCAGCATATAAGTGGAATGAATAAATGAACAAATAAATAAAATAAGTTGTGTAACGAACCATGTCAGATAGCATATTGTTACCATTCAGTACATTCGTAGCTTCATCTTTGACTGTCAGGGAAGTGCATGTAAGAAGGGTTGCTGAACTTAAACTCGCTTTCACTACTTTTGTAGGATGCTAAAAAAAAAAAAGGAAAAAAAGTAATTCCTTACATGGCCAGTTGGCCAAGGCACATATTATTTATATTAACAGCTGTTAGGTATTGACTAAATCCATAGCCTCTCAGACAAATCATTTAAATCCTTCACTTCTCTGTGGACTTTTAGCTTTGCTCAACCAATTGCAAATGCAGCTTTCTGCATGTGAGTTACCATGTTGAAGCTAAATTACTGATCAAATACTGTCCTGACAAATTAATTCTAGGCTGGTGTTTGGAGATCCTGCAAGGCTGGGTTCTTGGTTACTTATACTTAAAAGAAAGTTTTGCGTCCCAGGCTATGAGAGTGTGATAGGGGGCAAACTCAAGGCCAGAACCCAAAGCGGCCCACTCCCCTGCCTAGGGCAGTCTGCCCTGACTTGTCTGCCATGACTTGATTGTTAACTTGATTTATTAAGTGGGAGGCTGCCCATTACTTGCCCTGATGCCAGGGGGCACTATCCACGTCTCCAAACCTTCCCTATACTGTGGCCCATGCCTCACAGATGGCATCCTATACTGTGGCCCATGCCTCGCATATGGCACCCTGATTATGATTGCTCCACAGTATGAGACCAGAGCAAACTTGGTCCATAGTTGGGCTCCATTCATTCTGACATTCACTTCACCCCCCATCTCACAGGAGGCCTCTTGCACTCCGCCCCCTCTCACAGAGGCCTCTGGCATATCGCTCATTACTGG